GGCTTTTCTCCACGTATACAATATCCAATCTTACTGGACCCCCCTCAGCCAGAAACCGTGGAGTGACACTGCCTGGCACTTCTCCTCCCTCATTCCTCAAATCCAATGATCTACCAGGTCCTGCAGATATTTTGAAACTTGACCTTCACTTGCCATTGCCATTGCCCTAGCGCCAGCCATCATCATTTCTCTCTAATGATGCCAGTAACCTCCAAACTATACTCATTCTGACCTCTGGAGGAAGGGGCGGTGTTGGAGGTACTGAGGGGGGTCAGAGTGTTCAGAGATGTGTGGTTGTTGGAAGGGGGTTTGTCCCAACAGCTGGTGGGTCTTCCTAGCATTTAGAAGGCAAGGGTCAGAGATGTTAAACATTCCAGTCCAGTACAGAATTAACCCACCCAGAACACCACTTGGGTGTCCCTATTCCTAACCCCTGAAAACACTGGTCCTAGCCATTTTCCTCAGGACAACTATATTTTTACAAATGCAAATATGATCATGTCACAACCCTACCAACCTTCCACCAGCATTTTACTGCTGTTGGGATAAAGATCTAAGTCCTTAACTTGGCCTATCTTTCCAATCATGAAGGCTGGAAGATGATGGATCATGGATCTTATTCCAACTACAAATGAGAGAGGTCTGTAGAAGGACAGGAAGAGAAGCAAGAAGACCAGTTAGGAGGCTACAGCAGTAGTCCAGGCAAGAGAGGACTCTGTTTGCTGTATGGCAGTAGGGGTAGAAGTATAAGAGTGAATTCAGGATATATTTGAGTGAATTGACAAGATATGCTGATGAGTTGATTGTGGCAGGAAGGGAAAGAGAAAAATCAAAGACCTTAGGATTTTTGACCTAAGAAACTTGGTGAATGGTGGGACCACTAAGTGAGATGGAAACAATAACTTTTTGGGATTGGACAGATGTGAAAATCACAAGTTGTTTGGGCATGTTAAGTATGAGATGCATTTAGACAATCAAGAGGAGATGCATTGATTGTTCTGGATCCATATGGAAAAGTCCTCAGCACCAGAACTCAGGATTCTTTCAATTCAATTCAGGGCTCTTTCTCAGTGGTTTTCACATGCAGTCCATTGATTAACAGCAGCAATCTTATCTGGGAACTTGTTAGAAGCTCAACTTTTTTCTGAGGTCCTACCTCAGACCTGCTGAATCAGGAACTCTGGAAAGGGAGCTTGGCAAAATCTGTTTTAACAGGACTTCCAGGTGATTAACAGAAGTTTGAGAACCACTGCTCAGAATCATATTCCTCATCACCAATCAACACTTGATAGCCACAGCTATCCTGTATCAGGCTTCTTGTGCCTCCATAAACCCTCTGCCTAGTGAACGATAGTATATTTTTGTGCCCAGGATTCAACAGGGGCTCCAGACACATCACTTATCAAAGGTTTTCAATTTCAGTTTCAGAAACTAGAGCAAGAAGGAGAAACAAAAAACCAGAATCTATTGTAATCACAATTATCACTTTAATAATAGCTATTGAGTGCCACCTATGTGATTTCTATTCGTTACCTCATTCAATTCTCTTAACAGTCCTGTAGGGTAGTTACTCTGTCCCCATTTTACAGATGAGACTGAGGCACAGAGAGGTTAGGTAACTTGTACAAGGTCATACAGTTAGAAGTGACAGAGCTGGGATTTGAACCTAAGTAGACCTGTGTTTTTTATTTGTTTGGGAGGTAACACTGACATAAAACATTGAATAACTTTTAAGGTATAAATGTGTTGGCTTCATAGACTTATATATTGCAATATAATAACTACCATAGCACTAGCTAAAGACTTTATCAAGTCATATAATTATCGTTTCTTTTTTGTGGTGAGAACAATTAAGATCTAGTCTCTCAGCAACTTTGAAGTTTATAATATAGTGCTGTTGACTATATAATCACTATGCTGTGCATTAGAGTCCCAAAACTTATTTATCTACAAGTTGTAAGATTCTCAAAGCCTGCATTTTTCAACCACAAGGGTACATACTGCCTCCTATCTTCCTAGGCATTCACACAAGGGACAGTGATTTATTATTAAGTACACAGGGCTCTTATGAATAACTGAGGGAAGTTAAACAGATGTTTAATTCTATCAAGTTACCATATGACCCAGCAATTCTACTCCCACATATAATCAAAAGAATGGAAAACATATATCCATACAAAAACCTGTGCATGTATGTTTTATAGGCAGCATTAGTCACAATATCCAAAAAGTAATAAAACAAAAACCAAAAGAGTCTATCAACTTATGAGTAAACAAAAATGAAGCATATCCACACAAAGAAATATTATTTAGCCATGAAAAGGAACAAAATATTTATACATTCTACAACATGGATGAGCCTTGAAAACATTATGCTTAATAAAAGTCAGTCACAAAAGCTTCACATCACATTATTCCAATTATATTTACTATCTAGAATAGGTAATCCATAGAATAAAAAAAAATTAGTGGTTGTATTGTTGGGGAGTGGGATGCACTGTTGGAGAGTGAGCACTAGTGGATATGAGGTTTCTTTTGGGGGTGATGAAAATAGTGAAGTTGCATAAAACCACCTATACGATAAATGAATGTACTTAATACCACTATAATGTACACTTTAAAAGGGTAAATTTTTATGATGTATGACTTATATCTCAGTAAAGCTGTTATTTTTTTTAAAAAATTAACTTATTTAGAACTTAGGCTATTGTACTAAATAAAATGTTGCTTATCTGTTGTCATTAAGCTTGCTGGATAATGATCAAAGAAACTGAAAGTAATCTGCCATGGTTCTGAATTTTTACCTTTCAATTTGTAAAAGACAATAAACTAGTTTCACTTCTATGTTACCATGGGCCTACACACAGTCATCTGTGTCATTTGTTTACCCACCCAGGCGAAAGTTTTTCTTCACTGAGACTGAAAAAATACAAATGCAATAAATTCTGTTCTTGAGAAAGTGTCCCAACATTTTCCTTAAATCATAGCACTTTCTCTTTAAAATAACTTTATTTTTTTCCCATAAAAATGGGGCTTTCCTGCTCAAAGCACAGGGATGAACAGTATTTCTCTTCAACAAGAAACTATTACGAATTGCAGTAACATTTTAACACCTTAAGACAAACAATGAAAATGGGTATCTAATACTGGGGTAAGGACCTAAAAAACATTCTTTTAAATGTTTACTTGCTCTAATAATAATAGTAATACTAATAATAAACTAATATTTATAGTGTTATAAACACTATCCTAGGTTCTTTATAAGTATGATAATTAATTTAGTCCTACAGCAACCCTGAGCAAAGTATTTTTATCCTCATTTCACAGATAAGCAAACTGAGACCTGGAGAGACAAAGTAAATAATTTATCCTTAGTCACACAAGTAAGAGAGCCTAAATGATAACCCGCCTTTCTGAACTCAAATGTTTTATCACTCTATATTTATCAAAATGAAAAATCTAGAAGAAACTGAAAAGACCCCTCCTCTTCCTATCTCCCAAAGGTAATACTTTAAAAAAAAGTTGACTGTTCCTATAGTTCAATAGAGGAAATTGAGAAAACAAAAGATAGTTAATAACCATCAGTCAGTAGACCATGCCATCTCTCCATCTCCTACAGCTTCCTGATTTAACAATGTTTCCACTGACTCTGATTGCAACCTTAGGATGTCAAAATGTAATGATCTCACTATGGAAAACCCCAGAGAAAAGCAGTTAGTGAGACTGGAGAGTTCGTAAGGCCAGGAAGGAAAAGAAATCAGTTGGCAGGAAGTGGTGCTTATCTAAAAACATAAGTCTTTAACATTAATATTAATACTATAATTCTACAGCACTTTAATCTGAAGCTATCTCTGCATTCCCTCCCATTATTTTAATACTATATTATTAAGAGCTGATTCTCAGTCTATTCTCCTTATGCATAGAATTCTAAATAAAATCAGATTGTTACAGTCACTACTGACCCTCATTTTGCGGGTGTTCGCTCCCTCCTTCTCTCTCTCTCTCTGTCTCTCTCTCTCTCCACACACCCCCCCCCCCACAGGTTCAAAGGGTTATTCCAGAAGGAAAAGACCCTTAAGGATTAGGAAAGATAACATATGAGGTACAAGCATGAATTTCATCACCAAATAAACTGTGGCTGGAAGTCTTAAATTCAGAACTGAAACACACATTCCTTCTTCTCAGGACCCTGCCCAAAACAAATGAAATTGTAAATTAACAGCAGATTGATGGATGTACAATTGCTAAGCATCTCCACAAACACCAAAAAGGGGAAAAAAAAAAAAGTGCATTAGAAGATCTGCTCTCCAATTAAACAACTAAAGAATGAAAGAGTTTAGTGCATTTGCACAAGAACATTACAACGCAAGATGGAAGAAGTCACTAGGAGTTGTACAAATCCTTAGAAAACGCTAAAGAAATAACCTCGAGTCTTGGATCACCCTGTAATAACTCCTAATGGAAAAGGGTCAACTCAAGACAAAGTAACGTCGAGCTTGAGAATATCTCCTCGCAGACGGCCCCAAGTTCCCATCAGAACCTTCTGGGAAGTCAGCGAGAGATTCTTAAGTGCGGAGCTGCGGGTGCAAGGAAAGGGGGCTATCCTCGTGCAAACCACCACCTGTGCGTGATGGAGATTCCCCCAAAAGGGACATCTATTTAAAGTGAGAAACAGCTCTGGGAATGGCCCTCCGACCGATACTGCCTACTCACCCAGCTTCACTGTCCCAAGCCCGGCCACTTGCCGGCGGAGGGCAGCCCTTCCAGAGCCCTCCGCCCCCAGGCGCGGGTCTGCTCCCACACCCAGCCATTCCCACAGCTCGGAGCCTTCTCCTGCGCCTGACAGCAGCACTGCCGCCGCGGGCCAGCCCCAGCTTCCCCGGACCAGGCTCCCGAAACCAATCTTCCGGGATCCGCGGTGCCCCAGGCCCGCGGGATTTAGGGCTCCGGATCTAGGAGGGTTTGGTCCAGTCCCCCCTTCCTCTGAGTCCTGGGCTCACCTCCCCGGCAGCTTGGCACTCCTCTTCCAAAACTGCTTGCTGTTCTCGGAGGCCATTGCTCTGGCCTGGAGAAGGCCTTGTAGGCGGGCCAGGGGGTACCTGGAGAGATGCCCCCAGGACCCGGCAATCGGAGGGCCAACCCAGGCCGCTTCCCCGCCGCTGGTCACCCGCTCCCAGCTCCTGGGGACGCCATCTTGGATGTGGGCACCCCCCGACCCAGCGTCGCTGCCATTGGCGGGCTGCGCAGGCTGTGGTTGGACGGACCAATCAGGAGCCAGAATCCTGCAGGCCGCTGAAGCCGAACGGTCACGTCAGGGGCAGGGCACACAGGTAGACCGGTAAGGCGGAGCTTGGGCGATCGCAGAGGCGGGGCTGAAAGTTCCTACTCCCGGGAGGGGAGAGAGGCAGGTGAAAAAAAAAGGGACCTGTTGGAAGGAGCGGGTACTGTTTTCTTTGGGGGCGAGGGGCGGGGTGGGGGATGGAGGCGGGTGTCGGGTTCCTGAATCTAGTATATTTTTGGAAAGAGGATGCACATGGATTCGTATACACAAATCTTTGACTTAAAAATAAGGGCCCATTTTTAACATCTTCCAACTCAGTGACACTAGTATTATCCTTTCGCCTTCCCCGTTCTTCTTGGACCCCGACTTTAAAAATTTGTGAAGCAAGATCAACATGGATCCGATAGCCCAGGGTTGCTAACAGTTCAACACTTGAGTGACAGTTAGTTGCTGAGTCTCCCTGTTCTCTGTTAATTGAAAACTATAATAGGACTTGTGCTGTGGGCGAAAATTAAATACTCTTATCTCAAGTTTCGACCAGTAACTGTTGTTCTGACAGTAAGAACGCTGATGGTGACAGTGTTAAGGAAATTTTATTTATCCATCCTATTCAAGCTACCGGGTAAGATTCTTGCAAGGAAAAAGTATGTAACCACGGCATGAGTTTCAGAAATTGAGGATTGTATCCCCAAACATCCTTAGTGTCCCTTATTCATTTATTATAAACCTTTCACCCTTGAATTTACTTTCAGTCTGATTTAGATTAAGAATGAAATTTAATGTTAGCATTTTTGAGCTCTTTGAATGTCTTGGTGTGCTTTGCTTATTTTGAGTTGCCCTGGTTGTATACCACAACGACTGGGGGGTTAGGGGGGTGGCGAGGGTGGGCAGAGGAGGTAGGGGCAGGGAGGGGACTCAAGCATTTCAAACACCTCAAGAGTAATTTTTGTCCCAACAAAGAACGAATTACACTGGTTGTCCCCACACCTCCTCCTGTTTACTGCTACCACATTTCTTTCCCCGTATTGAAGAATAGTTAAGGAGCCCCATTTAAAGAACGACCTTCTTTTACGTGCCCTCCAATGACCTCTTCCTACATAGACATTGCCCCCATCTTCAAGCTTCTTTTGTCCCCTAATTTCATGATCATGCAGTTGTATGAAAGTGGCTATTTTTACTTTCTTTGAATCTTTTGTGCTTTTGTAGGCTTTCATCTTATCTTGACTAAGTCACCTTTATGGGCATTTAATCTATCAAACAAAAATCCCTCTATCCTTTTCATCATTTTAGCTGCCTTTCTTCTTTTGGCTTCTTGGTTCTTCTTTTCTTCAGCCAAAGTGACCAGCACTGCACATTGAACACCAAGAAGGGTTTCCTGAGGTTTTGTTGAAGCTGATGTTTTATCTTTATTCTGGATAGCCAGCACTTTTGCTGGCATTTTGGACTTCATAAGGGCAAATGTCTTGAAAGAATAATCACCAGCGACTTCTAGAGCCCATCCCTTGGTGGCAACCAGTAGTTCAGAGTTCATTATCTTAAAGGTATTATCTGAACTGTCTCCTCCATGTGAGTTGCCTTACACTTGTACAAGTAGCAAGTCACCTGCCATTTCCCAACCTTCTCACATCACTTTAGAAATGTTCCAGGAGTTGCTTGCTATTGACTTGACATTTCACCATGTGGAAAGCAGAGTATAATTTGTGTGCCTAGAAATGTGTCTAAATGTTTCTCCTTCTTAATGGTTTATGAAATGCTAAATTCCCAGGGGTTGCTGCTAGCATTGTTCAGACCAGAGAAACCCTATTATTCTTTCTCACCAGCACCACCATGACCACTCAAATCTAAACCAACCACATTCTTACAACAGCCTCCTACTAGGCTTCCCCACTTCCACTCTTGCCCCCTTAGAGTTTATTCCCCACATGGTAACCCATCACACTTGGCATAAAGTCTGGGCTCCTACAGACCACATGATTTGCTTCTACTCAGGTCTCCAGCCTCATCACATTTTACTCTCTTCCTTGGTTAATCTGCTCCACCCTTATTCACTTTTTTGCTACATTAGCTATTTCCTCTGCTTAGAATTCTCTTTTCCCAAGTATCTAGAAGACCTGCTCTCTTATTTCATTCAAGTATATTCCCAAATGTCTTTACCTTGGGGAGGCCTTCCCTGACCAACCATCTTAAACGGTAGACTCCACCACTCTATTATTCTTTAAAGCACTATCACTACCTGCCATGTGATGTATTTGTTTGTTGTCCATCTTCATCCTTAAAATGTTAAGTCCACTAAGGCCAGGATTTTGTCTGTTTTGGTCTCTGCTGGATCCTCCACATTTAGAATAGGGCTTGGTGTATTTACCAAGTGAGAGAATGTAGAATACAGACCATTCTTTTTTCTCGGTTGTATGTTATTTATACATATTTTTTGTTGTTGGAAAAGATTATAGACGCCATGTTTCCTAATCTTTAGTAGGATATCTCCACTTCATCCAGAAACCTATGACCCTGCCTATGCACTTGGTTGAAGAACAGTCTTCCCCTCTTAGGAAAGATTGTTCTCTTGAAACCTTTTTGCAGCTTCAGAGGGATGTACCTATACCTAGAATGATGAGGGACAGAACCTGCCCACCTAGCCAGGAGCTCAGGCAAATCAACCTTTTCCATCACAGGGGCAATAGCTGTGCTGGCCAGGTCACCCAACTAGGGATGAAAATCATTGGTTTGAGATTCCCGTGGGAGCCTTGGAGCACTTTAGATGGAGGAACTCAAGGCACTCACTGGTCCACTAGCAGTGCTTCTCATACTTTAGTGTACATGTGAATCACCTGGAAACCGCATTAAAAACTAGATTCTAGGGCCTCCCTGGTGGCACAAGCGGGTAAGCACCATGCTATGAAGCAATCTGCAGCCTCTGCAGCAGAGAGCAACCCACATGGCGATCCCTGGGCAGCCAGAGAACAACCCACATGGCGAAGCAGACCTCTCCTGCCTCACCCGCTGCTTCCCTCAGCAGTGTATTTCAGACAGTCTGCCTGTTCTGTTCCCCACTCTGTCTCTGGTGAATCCTCTCACCTCCCACAATCTCTGGTCTGTACCCCAGCTCTTGTATGCATAAATAAATAAATCTTTAAACAAAACAAACTAGATTCTAATACAATAAGTCTAGTTCAAAAGCTCTAGCCTGTGATTCTGCATTCCAAACAAGTTTCCAGGTCACATGGATGCTGCTGACCTATGAATCCATCCTTATAAATCGTGTTACTAGCATAGTATACTCTGTGATTCTTGAATTTATCTCAAGGGCTTGGTTATTTTGAGACTTTAAGTGGAGACTTGCCATATTGTCAGTTAGTGAGTTTTCACTCTTCCCTCCTTAATTTCATCTTCATTCAAAGGAGAGTAAAACAACTTAGATTGGGGCAAATTTGAGTTAGGGGAATGAGCTGTGCATGGATGAAATATGGACTCAAAAGAGGTAGGCAGACCTCAGTCCTTAGGAAAAATTCTATGGAAGAGATAAGTTCAGAGTAGAGAAGGGCAGGAAAAGAAAGAGACAGTCTGAAGGCGTAGGCAGGTCATTTCAGAGCAGGAGCTCCTTGGGAAAGATAAAAATCAAGAAAAAGCCTTTGGACTTGCATACAAAGGCATCACTGGCAGACTTGAATTGCAGCAAGGGAGTGCAATCAACCCTGTGCGGAGGGGAAGGTTAAGAAATTTAGAACAAGAAGCAACCCTCAGAATGCGCAGGAGAATGTCTGGCCACCAAAGGGGTGGTGAGGTCAGGCAGGGATCTAAGAGCAAGACAGTGTTTTCAGTACCTAACAGCCCTAGGAAGAGCCAAATGAGAGAGGTTAGATGTGTTAGAGAAAGCCAAGGGATAAGCAGAAAGACTAAAGAAGCAAGAGGCTACTGGAGTAAAAAGGAAGATAGCATGGTCAGTTTGGGGGGGGAGGTGGAGAGAAGACTAGGAATTTCTTTCCTGGGAATTTGTTTTCGAGAAAACAAATCAAAGTGGGGAGAGGGAAGAAAGAAAGCTATGTGTATAGGGATGTCCTTTGCCTTTTAAACCAAAAATAAATAGGGGGAAAGTGAAGAGAATATAAAGATTTAAACATGAGGAGTTAGTTATACAAATTTTGATGTGTGGTTTGTAAACTTGAATCATGCTGTGCTATTAAAATGTGCAAATTTGAATGCACACAGCACATCAAAGAAGTCTATGAAATGTTGTACAGCAGGGAAAAAGGCAGAATGTAAATATCTTTGCCTGATGGGTTTTGTCCAACACTGGAAGAAAACATGGAAAAATTAAGCAAATTTTGTCAGATGGCACAATTATACATCTTTTTATTTCTGGAATTTTTTTCTTTAATGCTACCATTTTAATATGGGAAAACTTTTCTATAAAAGGCCAGATTGTGAATATTTTCAGCTTTGGGGTCTGCTTGAACTCTGTTGTAACTATTTGACTGTGCCGCTGTGACATGAAAGTGTAGACAATATGAAAATAAACTAGCATGACTGTATTCCTATACAACTTTAATTGTGGACACAAAAATTTGAATTTTATGTTATTTTTTACAGGTTATGAAAGATCATTCTGTCTTTTAAAAACAATTTAAAATGTAGAAATTATTCTTAGCTCTGTATCCTTCTCGTTTTAGTATATGTGCTGCCAAAGAAAACACAAAAAAAATGTAAAAATCACGCTTAGCTCACAGGCCATACAAACAAAGCACACTAGATGTGATTCATGGGTAGTTTGCCAACCCCTGCAATAAACAGTAAAGGATATATAAGAATAAGACTAAGAAACAAATAACCCTTAAGATACAATTCAAGTCTCCTCTCTGCCCTTTCTGGCTCTTGTTCCCCCCTCCCTCTTTGCAGTGGCTACCAGGATCCTGGGTCTGTGTTAGCATCTCATGCATGTTGTAGACTCTCACTACATATGTGCATATCCATAAACATGTTTTCCATGTTTTGAAACTTTATAAATAGCATCACACTGGACATATGCTTCAGCAACTGGCTTTTTCCACTCAGCATTCTGTTGATGCATGGAGTTTTCATTTATTCTTCTTAAATGCAATACACTGTTTCATGATGTGACTCTTCCTCACT